AAATTAAAAATATTTACCCCCCCCTACAGAATCCTTATTTACGCCCCTGGTAAGTTTAAAAGTAATAATTGGCAAAACACATGCTCGATTTTTGCGTGACAGTGTTCACTCCCTTCCACCCACCCCATTATCACTTACATTCAAATCAAATGTATTGTGAACAATCTTTGATGATTTTTTTTAGGTTCGCGTGCACTTAATCAAAACTTAATTAAAACTTAATCAAAACTTCCAATACCTAATCAAAATTTAATTTTAAATATCTTCCAACTTTACTTATCTATGATGTATTAGTATTTAATTCTCAATATATTTCAACTTTACCAATCTAATCTTTTATATAGTTAATTAAAGTTTGGATCAATGTATTTAAACTTTACTAATCTAATACTAAATACTTTGATAATTATTTTAGTCAAAATGCAATGTGCATTAAAGGTATTCAATTATTAGCTAAAGTGCCCGGCGTTGACCTTGGAAAAATAATTGAATTTTTGGTGACTTCAATAATTTTCAAGCTTAAAATTGCTTTAAGCTTACAAAAAAAATGTGTCTTTCAATGTTTTTTTCTGATTTTTTTTGCTGTTTTTACAAAAAAAACACTGGTAAACGGCTTTTTAACAGTTTCTTTTAATAAAGTTGTTAACAACTTTGAGAGAGAACCAAAAATAACTCTAACCAATAGAACGCTAAGCTCTTTTATAAGAAGAAAGGGGTACCTAAAAGGTGGTAATGGCTAACTATTTTAACTAACTGTGAACAAAAGGCTTGGAAAAAGGAAATTTCCTAAAGATAATATGGACTTGAAAAAGGACTGACAGTAAAAGGCCAAGATTGAGTGGAATAACGAAACATGTTTGCATACAAAACTATATTTACAGGTTAACTATACAAACTGGGGATCAAATGATCAATAAACTCTTCTTCAACGTGACATTCAGCCACAGTATCGAATGTATCTTCAATGGACTTCCCCTATCCACTGCTTTGTGAATCCGGCGCTACGACATCTGCTCTATTTCCATTTGCTCTATGGTCATTTGCTCTATGGCCATTTGCTCTATTAACCATTTTCTCTATAGCTCATAGATCACAACGTTTGCTCTATATGTCATCTGCTCTATACGTCAATTGATCTATGACATAACACGTCATTTGCTCTATAAACATTTTTATGACTGTGATGGTCCAATTGCTCTACTCAACATTTGCTCTATGAGTAAACACGTCATTTGCTCTATAAACATATTTATATAAATATCTAATCATATTTAAACATTATTTTTACAATTTTACATTTTACAATTCTTCCTACAGTTTCATTATCCCGCCAACTTCCTGGAGATAGTTTTGTTTGTCTGTTATTTGTGCCTATTGTGAGACCAAGTTAGATATTAACATTTCCTTGTTCTTTGAGTATTGTTTCCTAGCAGAACCAGGAGCAAGAGGATCTACAACATTTACCCTAGTGTCATGAACTTTTTGATGCACAAGACCTTCTTCTCTTAGAAAACCATCACAAATGCACCATAGAGATGCATTTGTTGGAGTACATTTGTTCCAGGCACCATTAAACGACTCTGCACCATTGTTTGTACATGGAACCTTCTCTAACACTGAGGCAAACTTGTTCCAGGTTGGTATCTTTATTCTTGGATTACCTCTTCTTCCACTCCTTCCAACCTTGCCTAGATAAGTTTCCACAAAATAATCAATAAAGTTGTCGATTTTTTCGGATATTTCATCTTGATTCTTAGCCATGAAGGGTTCAATCACATTCATCCAGACATCAATGACTTCATCCGCCGGCACAAATACAAGTGACGTCATTAATGTGACGAGCTGCTGGAACACTGCAGACTGGTTGTATTGTCCCTTACAGCCCTTATCTCCAATGTGATGAACAACATTCTTCCTAAATTGTCAAAAAGTTATTTTTTGGTCTCTAGTCTATTCTAACAATGAAATTACAATAATACCTGAAATGAAAGTGACAACCAGTTATCTTGGCTGCAGGATACACCTCTAAAAAAACCTTGATGGCAGCTGCTTCGATATCAACGATAAGATGGTTTGGACTGCATGCTGAATACCACTGTCTATCACAAGTTTTATCTGGGTCCAAAATTATCTGTAGGTTACTGTCTGCTTATTAGGTAGAACTCCAAAAGCACAGGTTAAAACCTTGCCCTAAGATGTGTTTCCAAACACAATATACACCTGGGCATAGGGAACAGGAGCTGTTGAGAAAGTTCCATCAGCATACCAAACTTTGGACTGTTTCAACAGGTCTATACCGACTGGACTCATAAAAAGCATAAATGTTGTATCACCATTCTCCACAGTGTCACCTGAGTAGCGAAGAAAACGCTCACCCCCAGCGGTCAACTTGTACTTCTCTGGAAGAAGTTCCACAGCTTCAGTAAAGGTCTGTGGTGTGACTGGATGCCCACCGTGAGCAACTCTTACCCTCTGTAAAGATCGTATAAATGCACTGGAAGTCTTTGGCATTAGCTGGCCACCCTGTTGCCTAAGATTATTGGCTATTTCTGCAAGAATTACTCTAGGAGGCAAAGCAGGGTTTTCTATTTCTTTATTCATGATGCATCACATTCAGCTAACAGGAAGTTTATCTGAGCAATATCTGATGGATGGCTGTGCTCAGGCAAGTTTAGAATATCTTTACCAACTATGAAAGTTTTAGCCATGGCAGAACAATTCTGCCTTCTATATTCAAGACATCTCCAGTTCTGATAGACACCCTGTTTGTTTAGAGTAGAATAAATATAGTTTTCACCACATATTAGGTTTTTTTACCCCTCTTATTACTGAGCAGTCTCGCTGTCATGATGGACTTTGAAGAATTGATGAAAACTGCAATTTGCGAATTTTCCAAAAAAAATTCCCGCATTTCATAGTCAAGTTACGCTCAGGAATTCCAATAAAAGCTATTTTATAGTGTATTTTTGTTATAGAGCAAATGACGTGTTTAGTCATAGAGCAGATTGAATATAGAGCAAATGACGTATAGAGCAAATGACGTATAGACCAAATGACTTGATAGAGCAAATGGCCATAGAGCAAATGACCATAGAGCAAATGGAAAATGAGCAGATGTCGTAGCGCCGTGAATCCTGGGTATGGGGAATCCAATATGGATGATCCTTTTCCTGGTACTGGCCTGGCTTGTTGGATCATCAGGCTGCCAACATTACTTAGGAGCAATAAACTGTACTTCATTATTTACAACTGTGAATCTTTACTGGTTCACATCCACTCCTCATTCTTTCGCCATTAAATATAGAGATTGACAAAAGAATCTTCATAATGGTTGCTTCTTATTTTCAGGGCGGAATAGTGTCCACCCCAATGGCCTAACTGATCTGTTTCAGCAAGGTTGAGTTAACTTTCTTTATCTGATGATCCTTGAAGATAATTTTCTACTCTTATTTAACTCTTGTTCTCCCCATAAGGGTTTTAATTTTGGGAACTATTTCTCCTTTGGAGAAAAACAATTTTCATTGTTTATTGAATCTCCAGATCATGATTTATTTCTGATCCTTGAGATCCAACAGTTTTAGCCCAATATTAACACCTAACTCTGCTATATTTGTTCACACCCCCTCCAACCAAAGCCAAGCTTTAATTGTAAATGTTTCTAGTAAAAAATTGGAAGTTTCTTCCCCTCCCCCTCATGTGGTT